TGGTGACAAAAGGACAGTCTCAGCGTGTCCCTACCAAACGCTCCCATGCTGACTTCCCCCCAATTTAGATTTCGACGAGGGCTCTGTGACACCCAGTCAGGCTTCACTTCACACCAGCTAGGGGGGAGGGGGAAGGGGGGGCATGTGTGCATGTGCGTGTGAGGACCTCTTGCAGCACGCTGTGACCAATCCCTGTGCTCAACAAGCCGTTTCTGCCAAGATGTCCCCCCCGGCAGGTGGGGGGGTGGGGGGTGCTGCACTCAGGGTGACTGGCGGGCATTCTGCCCACACGTCTGTCAGGAAAGCTCATTTCTATGGAGACGGGAGGGGGAGAAAAAAATAATTTAAGAAATCCCACTGGGGGTTAGTGGGAAAAATAGCTCGACATCAAAACAAATTTGTTCCTTTTTTAATCTGTAGAGAAAATGATGTGACAAATTGTGTCCTGGAGAAAGCGGGGGAGGAATTAAATTTGTGAGCTGGGTGGGGGAGGGAATCGGGAGACAAACAGAGAAAAGCCAACGGGACAAAGGTGCAGCGGCGTGAGATTTAGGGAAATGCTTTTATATATAATGGGCCGAAGCTGTTGGAGAGTTTAATAACAGGGAACGCGGGAGGAGAGGGGAGACTGAGATTGGGGTCAGGCGGAATATCGGTCCTCATAAGTGCCTCTCTCACTAGCTACTGAGTGCCCTCAGAAATATGGCAGGCAGTGGAGTAAAAGAGCAACTGGATACCTAAAACGAATCGCACAACTGGCTGGATGAAACATATGCTCCCCTCCTCAGCCGTGCAATGGGAAGGGCACGAGGGAGAGGACGGCGTACCCGCTTCGCCTGCCTGTGCCTGGGAGGCAGTGTCCGGGCCGCACGGAGAAGGAGGCCTGCATGCTGAACCAGAACTGCTACCACTACTCCTACAACATCACAGGTGGGCTCGCCCGGCTTGACGGGGGGGCTTACAAGGCGTCTCGCCCACCCACACAAACGTAGCTATATAAATACTGCTTCAGAAGTACTATCGCGTCCGAGAGAGCCAGACACAGTCACAAACGCGCACACGTCCTCCCACACGTCATGTCACTGCGTCACGTGAGCCCCCCGCCCGGCATCCCTCTCGTGATGGCGCCCCCTGCAGCTCAGTGCTGGGCAGCCCCCGCTGCTTCGCTCCCGCTCCGTAATCCCCCCCTTTTCACCCCCCTGAGGTGTACAGTTCACAAACACACAAAACCTTCGCCGGCAAAGCAGAGCTGTGGAGCGGATTCTGCGCCGAACGTTTTTGTTGTTTAAAGGTGACGTAAAAACTGCTAATTTTTAGTTGTTAGCTGCAATTTAATTTAATTACTTTAACATTTTCTTTACATTTTATGGAAAGAATCCAATGGACCAACAACAAAGTCTTCATTTGCTTTTGTAGGAGCTTACAGGGCATATATTTGAAAGGATTTATAAAAAGAAATGGCGTACATAAATAAACGGCTGGCTTTTATATTAATACATTTCATCCCCTCAAATCTGCTAAAGCGAAGACGTGTTAATGGGATTTCCTCCTTTCTGATGAAAGTGGGGCTGCTGGCTTCGCTTACACAGTCATCTGTGGTGATGGAGGCGCAGCACTGACAGATGGAGGGAGCCACAGACAGGCTGTGCCGGCGACGGGAGCCGCGGAAGGTTAATGAGACCGGCGGCTCGCCGCTGAGGGTTCGCGCCTTCGCGGCTAGCTGACAGTGGATAGGAAACGCAGCGTGGGCGGAGCTTAAAGTAGCGACTGGGACCACGCCCCACTGGAAATGGTCTGTGCTGCGTTTTCTCAACGCAGAAACAATGCTCTGGTTCTTAAAGACCAGTCCATGCGAAGCACAGCCCCCCCGCCCCTGTCCTCCCTGCTTGTTTGATCAGTGTCATGTTGGCACCTCCCCCCGCAGACTGGAGCACGTGTCAGCTGAGTGAGAAGGCGGTGTGCGGGGTGGGCATCCGGACGCGCATGCTGGACTGCGTGCGCAGCGACGGCAAGTCTGTCGACCTCAAGTACTGCGAGGAGGTGCGTACCCAATGCGTGGCCCCCACCCCAATCTGACGCAGCGTCCCCAGGCAATAAAAACACACTACACATAAATTTATCAAAACAAGACAAGAAGAAAAAGTTATTCCATTCCTGTGTCATATAATATTTATGCAAGTGCAATAATGTGTTATTAATGGTCAGCCCCTGGTCTCAAGAGAGAGCAGACGGAGAGGTTAAAGAGCTTGTTTTCCAGCCTATAGTGTCTCTCCTTGTAAATGGCGGTGGGGCTTGGAGGGGGAATTCTGGGATATGCTCACACCAGCCACCTCCCACAGCTGGGCCTGGAGAAGAAGTGGCAGCTGAATGCATCCTGTACAGTGGAGTGTCCCATCAACTGCCAGCTCTCTGATTGGTCGGCCTGGTCCGGCTGCTCGCACACATGCGGACTCTCAGGTATCCCGCCACATGCAGTCCAGGCATGTCCTGTCATTCCTGTCACACAAAGCAGCCTCCAGTACGGGGCCCTGGGGCTTGTTTCATAAAGCAGGATTTCTTGCTTAGCCGGATAACTTGTAGTATTTAAGGTTGTTTGGACTACCTGGAAGATAAAGTCTATCTAGTCCGGACTACCTTAAATCAGGCAAGTTATCCGGCTAAGCAAGAAATCCTGCTTCTGTCCCCTGGAGAGACAGCAGATATTGTGACCATTCTATACATCTATCCAACCTTCCATCTACCTTCCACCTATCTTTCATATATCTGACCCTGCTTATCTAGTATTATATCTAGGTTATATAGTACAAGCAGTAGCGATACTACACTAGGGGACAAAGGTGGCCCCGAAGGGACTTTTTGAGTAGAGCCCCAGAAAGATCACACCTGCCGCTTGACTGACAGTCAGCCTGGAGCCCATCCTAGGACAGACGGAACCTGAGTCAGGGGGACACGCTGGGTGGGGTAACAGTCCATTTCTGGTCTCTTGGCCGCTATGGGCAAGACCTCTGTTTACCTAACCTGCAGGAGGAACATGCGAGGAACATGCGGAGAACATGCAAACTGCACAGGCAGGAGCTGCACACCCCACCCTGTGGTGAAGAAGCTGTAGTGCTTCCTTGTGACCCACTACCCCACCCTCCATTCTCAACACACCATTTTCATTTTAGCTTAAGAGCTGATCATCTTTAGGTGGTGTTTTCTTACGCAGTGAAGTCCAGAGGCAGCCAGCAGGGCGGTAAGAACATGCCGACGTGTAATTCTAGCTCGGCAGACGATTGATTGCGGTTCATTTGGCGCGTCTGACCAGGGCCCCCGGGAACGATCCGATGTGTAGAAGAGACTTCTGAGAGCATGGGGAAGCGCGATCTGGACGTAGACGGAGCCACGGAGGGTTTTAGGAATCAGCCTGACCCGGCGTTTCCCGGACAGCGAGTCTCTAAGAGGATGAAGGGCGCTAAGGGTTGCTGGCATGTAATAATGATGAGGAAGATGATGATGATGATGATGATTTCTGTGTAGAGCCCTCAGCAACAAATGGAACCAGCATCGTTTTTTTCTGCCCAGAGGCAGAGTGTGAAATCGAACAGCGCGTTTAGAAGATCCATCAAACTGGTGTGTGTCATTTAAAGAGCCTGCTTGTAAAGCCCCCCCCCGTTTCCCGGAGAGGCACACCCACCGTCTAGTTCAGAGAAAGACATGGGGAGTGAAGAAGTGATTTTGGAAGGCTTATTAAACCAAATGTCTCTGTCTGAGGCTGCAGGTGGCATTGGGAGGTGTGTGTGGGGGGGGGGGGGGGGGGGGGGGGAGGGAGGGGGTGGGGGGGGGGGGGGGGGGGGGTGGGGTCAGCCCTGCTGATGCCTGTCAGTGGGCAGCTGGTGGTACTGGCTGGTGGGGGCAGGATGGAAGGCGCACAATAGTGAGTAGTTCCCTGGAGGTTCAGCGAGGTCTCCACCAATCACAGTCCCACCCACCCACTCCCGCATCTCATTTTGCCGGAGGGGGGCACGCCGGATAATTAAGGAGCCGAATCGCGTCTGCTGATGCTCATGAAGCCTGATCATGCTCATCTTATAGACGTAAGAGCAGATGACTGCATCCTGCTTCTGCAGCTGTACCAGCCTTTCAGGGGATACTGAGAAAACGCTAATAACCACCCCCCTCCCCCCCCCCGGTAACGTCGCAAAAGCCAAATAAACAATCTGAGTTCCCATAGAATGTATATTGCACCTGAAATTTAGAGCTCCGAAAGGGTTTTAAAATTCAGTTTGTGTACGGTGGCCACCTGTGTTTCTGGAGGATTCTCGGCATATTTTCACCACGTAAATACTGAAGTATATTGTCCCTTCATTGCATTTTCATGCAGATGGCACCGAATCGTAAAGTTTTCGGGCGGTCGAGTGCCTGTCCTCCTCTCTGTGGCTTAAAGGTCATCCCAGCTGGAGACTCACCATCCCACTGGGGGACTTGCTGGAAACTTAATAAAATTCCATTAATAATAAAAACAAAGACTCACCCCAGGCTTCCCTCTTTAAGGGAGAGCAGGAGAGTGCGCCGTTCCTGCTCCCCACTGCCCCTAAGCCGTAGCTGCTGTACTGCTACTGATTCAGAGCGGCGAGCGCTCACCGTGGTTTCAGGCGGTGGAATCACCCTGCTCAGACCCAGAAACTGCTGAAGCGATTTCATGGCCTTCGGTTTTCTCGCTTCTTGGAGAAGAAGACCATCAGTCAAATGCCGTACGTTGCCAGGGGGCTGAATTATTTTTTTTCCGGCAAAACTTCACTCGTTTGAAGGAGTTACACTTGTACTATGGCTACGAGGCCTTGATGGAAAATGCCGGGTCTTTCAGGCGTCCTAGCGAGCCCTGAGGGAATGGACTTCCCTATAGATGCTGCGTGGATGCATTTCCATCTCTCTGTACAATCCTCTTTACCTGCTTAATTAAATTACACCTTCAGAGCTCCCATCTGCTGTCCTTCTTTCACTGCCATCCTTCCTTAACTACTGCCCCTCCTTCACCCACAATCCCTGCACTCCCTGCTAACACTGGCATTCTCCTGTACCCCCTGCCCACCCCAATTGTTCCCTCAGGGAAAATGTGGAGGAGGAGGACTGTGACCCAGGCATCCCAGGGGGACGGGCGGCCGTGTCCCCCTCAGTTGGAACAGTGGAAGCCCTGTCCTGTGAGGCCGTGCTACAGGTGGCGCTACAGTCCCTGGTCAGAGTGCAGGGCAGAGGTAAGCTCCTCTGTCCGTGTGTCTGTTTGTGTCTCTGTGCTCCCGTCTGCTTATCTGTCCATTCATCTGTCTGCCTGGCTGTCAATCTGTCTGTCTATCTGTCTATTGTCCTCCCTTCCTCTCTCTCTCTCTCTCTCTCTCTCTCCATTTGCCTTATCTCTGTCTCCTGCATATCCAACCAGGGAGTATAATGAGAGATAACAAGAAGAACAATGTCAGCTGTAAGGGCTCACAGCCCCTGACACAAGACTGAAGCAGAATAAATTAGATGGACTTTTTCTGGGCTTTAATAGTCAGAATGTAACAACAGAGCATAACTGTTAGGAATTCACTGAACCCACAGGGGATGTTTCCTGCAAAGGGGCCGCTGTCGGGCGCTCGTTTGATAGCCGGTCACGTGTCTCGCCAGGACGCCAAGTGTGGGACGGGCCTGCGATGGCGTAACGTGACGTGCTTCGTGACGGACGGCTCGGGGGAGGGGGACGGCAGTGCGGTGGACGAGGAGTTGTGTGGAGACGTGGAGCTGTCGGTGGACGGGGACAAGCAGGTCATCCTGGAAGAGGTGTGCACAGTGCCCTGCCCAGGTAACCCCCTGTCCTCATCGCGGCTCTTTATCGTCTTCTTCTTGATGCTTTTCACAATGTAACATATCTGCAAAGATGGTGATTCATTAAAGACCCTGCACCTTCACGCCATGCCGCAAGAACGATTCTGTATTTGACCAATCAGCAATTGGTCTTCACCTTTTGAACTAAATCCAATTGCTAACATGTGATTCAGCCTTAGAGGTTTTGCGGGTCCCGAGGATCATGCTCACCGACGCCCCCTGGTGACGGTCTTGCACCTTCACTACACCCACCTTCACTTTGTAATGCTCATGCTGGACTTGCTGACCATGCACTCCAGATGTACATTTATAGATCCCACAGGGCTACAAATGAGCAGGCTTTTACAAATTAATCCCTGATAACTAAAGAGCTTGGATAAGAAGGTTTAAGAGGGTTTGGGAAGCTTGGTAGATGTATGTGAATCATGTAACCTTCAACGGTAGCTTCTGAAGACCAAGATTAGCACCTCCATCAATTGCAATGCCGTGTTATCATGAAGTACATAATGGATATATATAGTCTTTTGACTTAAAAAAATCTCCCCACGTATTAAAAAAGGTCTTTTTTATTGTGGATATAGACTGGCTTATGGGTACTCTGTTAAAAATAAGTGAGACAAGTTTTTCACCCCAACGCACGTTAGTGGCAGACCCGGTGAGGCGTGCGGGCGTATGGTGCGTGTCGTGGTAAGCGAGGAGCGAGACAACCTCGTGCTGCTGCACGTGGTGACAGTGAAAGCCGAGTGCAAGGGCGTGAGTGCTTATGCACGTGTGTATGTGTATACATATATATATAGTTTCCCAACTGAGTCACACCTCGTTGAGTTGTACTGGAACTCTGCTCCCTGGAAGACATCTTAACATCTTAATGTTATTTTTAAAAGGCAAACTGTCATGTAGGTTGCAGTAGCGTTTGGTGCCACATAAAGACAAACTGAACTGGAATTAAACTAATATTTTATTATTCTCTAGCCCGTAACTGTATTTGTAAGCAGAATAGCTGGCTTGTTGTTCTAGCAGTAAGTACTTTTCTTCAGAAGTACAAATAAGTATTTAATAGATACAATTGTAAGTGTAATTTGAATAAAAGTATCAGCTACTGTAAGTAGCAGATGTTAGCATTGGTCAGTTGAGTGCTGGTGGGCTTGCAGGCATGGCCAAGGAGCATGACAGTAAGCTCCTAATAAACCAAAGAGGATCACCTTCATGCAGAGATGAACCATAAAATGGGGACGAGGTCCCTTTAAGAAAAGGCATGACCTAGGAGCATGATAGTAAGGTCTAAATGAACCAAAGAGGATCACCTTCATGCAGAGATGAACCATAAAATGGGGACGAGGTCCCTTTAAGAAAAGGCATGACCTAGGAGCATGATAGTAAGGTCTAAATGAACCAAAGAGGATCACCTTCATGTAGAGATGAACCATAAAATAGGGACGAGGTCCCTTTAAGAAAAGGCATGACCAAGGAGCATGACGGCATGATTCAAATGGACACGCTTTTCCCCGAGTCTGGACACCTGACCCTTTAACAGCAATAACAAAGCCATTAAACCAAATGGGGCCAGCTGGGCTTCATTACTGGGCCACTGGTGGGCGCGGAGCTGGTGATCTATTGCCATGGAAACCGGCGCCTTGCTGCTGCTATTCCTCACGCTGTCTCCTGGCGCACAGCTGTGCTCATGTCATTACACGCATACAGCTGTAAATATGGTCCCGACACGGTTCCAGGGGACTGCTACCTGACGGACTGGACGCCTTGGAGCCCATGCCAGCTGAGCTGTGTGAACGGGGCGGACCTGGGGCTCGGCTCGGTCCAGGTCCGCTCGCGGGCCGTCATCGCCCAGGAGCCAGAGAACCTGCTGCAGTGTCCAGAGCAGGACTGGGAGTCCCGGCCGTGCACAGGTCAGAGGTCACGGCATCATCAAATTCACATTAAGAGTCCTAACTAGGGTCATTTTACAGACCCCGTTGTCTGTACTGTCTGTAGTGCTGAAGTATGTGATCCAAGGACTCATAACCTCCTGACTTAAGTTCAAATTGGAAGAATTTGAAGTCACTTTTATGCTTGATCTGTCAAAAGCCAAATACTATCCATCACATATTCGTATAAAATGCACGTGTCTCAGCTGCTGTCTCTGCTTCACACAGATGGCAAGTGCTATGACTACAGGTGGATGACAAGTACGTGGAGGGGATCAACGCGGCAGGTTTGGTGCCAGCGCTCTGACGGACTGAACGTCACAGGTGCGGCTCTGAACGCGGTGTGATTGTGGGTGTCAGATGTGGTTGTTTTAGCATCTCAGAAACAGCAGCCTTCCTGCCATTTTCTCACCAAGAATGGTGCAGGAGACAAAGAAGCATCGAAAAAGAGGCAGTTCTGTTGCTGAAAACACCTTAGTAATGAGAGCGGTCAGGGGAGAATGGCCAGACTCGTTAAGACTAACAGGAAGTCCACAAGTGGAAAAGCTGAGTACAACAGTGGGGTGCAGAAAGGCTTCAGTGAAAACACAATTTGTCAGCCCTTGAAGCTGAACAAGTGGGTTCTACCCAGTACTAGGTAGGTGTACTAGGTAGGTGTACTAGATAAAGCAGCCATTGAGTTTGTAATCTGCAACATTTTATGTACAAATATGTAGTAAAATCACCTCTTTTCCATGCAAAACAGCAGTGATGTCAACCCCCCCCCCCCCCCCCGAAGATTTCCTAATCCTAGTGGGAGCCCCTTGATTATTTTTTGATTCTCTTTGTGTGCAACCCTCACAAACAGTCACAAAAGATTGATGGTGGTAATCAAAACATGATTAACGGTATAATGCATGACTAACAGTACATGGCAACAAACTGTGACATTTCTAGTAAACAGAACTTCCCCTGCCCGCCGTCTGAGGTTCGTTGTGGTGGCTGCCATTCCGGGCCATTTTTTGCAGTTAATCGCTGCGCGGTTATTCAGAAAACATCAGTCGGGCCTGAAATCCTGTCTGCGAGCGCGTTTCTCCGCAGCATGAGGCGTGTTGGGTCGCGCAGTCTGCGCAGTGCTCACTGCGTGTGTTCTCACGCTCGCCAGCAGAGTGCGGTTTACAGTAGGTTAGCCGTCGCAGCTGCGCTGCTGCTCTCCCGACTGCGGCCAAAAACACGCCTGTCTCTTCCATCCTGCCAGCAGTCCATTTATTGTGTTTGATGTCGGTCTCCTGTGCAAGCCTTTGTCTTTTTCTGTGAGTTTGGTAGTGGCACCAAATATAGTCTTCCCTCAGTACTCTAGTGCTCCCTCAAGTGGAAAGATGTAAGAATGGCAGGTTTTTTGTACATTCACCCTAACCCTAATCCTAACCCTAACCCTAACCCTACCTGAAATAAGACAGCGGGTTGTGTTCCACCTGAGGGCCCCAAGTTTGACTCCAGAGCAGCACAGAAAGCCTGGAGCCTATCGCAGGCAGCAAAGGGCAGGGGACCCCCTCTAAGCGATGCCAGTCCATCACAGAGCACCTGCTCTCACCCGTGGGCTCCAAGAAACAGCACTTTGCCAAACTGCAAGTGTTTGGACTGCGGGAGGAAGCCGGGGAACCCAGAAGAAACCCCCCAAATAGCAGATAGGGAGTGGACCTCACGTTCAGACCCCCAGACCTGCTGCTCACCCAGCCACAGTGACCCTAAGGAGATAAATATCAAGCAATATTTCATCTAGATATGACCAAAGCAATATAACATAATGATTAAAGCATCTTTCATCAAATCCCTGCTCTGGTGTAGGAATGGGGAGGATATTGAGTTTTCAGGTACCTGAATCACTGGAACATAATCGGTGGGTGGGTGGGCGGGTGGGGGGGTGAGATTTACTCCATTGTAATGTCACACTCGCACCTTCAGAGCCGATTTGCTGACCTGCGTCGTTGCGAGTTCGGCACCCTGGTCCAGAAGGTGGCCATGCATGTACAGAAAGGCCGGGAATTTCAAATTAAAAGCCCTCAGCACTCTGGGTACTGGAACAGACAAAGAATCTGAACTGTCTGCCACATGATCAATGTAATTACCCTCCTTGTACGATTGATTAAATTTAGCTGTTTGTCCCCATTCAAATTAAAGTGCAATTAATCGATTTAAATAGGCTTTTGTTGCTCTCTCTTGTTTTTATTGCTAGGCCTGATTTAGCTGTGTTCTGGTGTTGTCTTTGAGGGAGCGAGTACTTTTATGCCTGAATGCTACAGCTGTGTTGTGACTCATCGCTACACTCTGTAGATAGTAATATTTACCCTGGAGTATGATTAGCGTGTGCTGTAATGATTTTATATGTCTGCGGAGCAGATGGGAAGTGGGAAGCTGGCGTTCCTTGTTTTGTGTGAGTGCTGATAGTAAGCTGACGTGATTATGGTGGGGGGGCACGGACCGGTGGCCTCACCTCCCTTTCTGGGCATGCTGGGGGCGAAGACGTGTGACGATCAACGCTGAGAAAGTACCGGAACACGGGCCTTACTGTCAGCAGCGTGTGGGTGTAGGGAATGTTTCAACGTGTAGATGTATGTTATTAACATGGAGATGCAGGCAATTAACTGAGAGATGTATGTAATCACACAACGTGTAGATGTATGTAGTGGTTCGTCCTGTATGTAATTAAATGGCGTACAGGCTTGTGTAATTACGCTACACCCAGAGGTATGTAATGATTGAACTTAACGTCAATGCCTCGCTGGGTGAAGCAGGATGAGCTGTGCCTCCGTAATAATGTCCCCCCCACCCCCCCGCCTCCTTTAATGTTCACCGCTCGGAGCCCGACGCCTTTCATGTGTCACACCTAGCAGCAAATGACGCGTAGCGCAGTTAAGTAGGGCAGGGAGGCTGTTTCCAGGCTGCATCCTCACACGTCTCCTTAAGCCAGTTGACAGTTTTCAGGGCAGACAAAAAAAATCAAAATTCGTGCCCAAACCTTCCCGTCTGGCTCTGCCCTGAAAGAGCCTTTTAACCATCCTGAAGGGTAGCAGAGACACACAGGCCTGGCTTCACATGCTGTGTTTACTTCCCTGTAGTGTGACTGACCTAGACAGACTTTTCACTAGACGTCAGCCAAGCTGCTGTGTTCTGTCTACACTTTCATTTATAGCGGATGGGATTTTTGTCTAATTAAGTCACTGTTTTTTGTTTTTTTTTTGTGGTTGGGGATGATGGTTGGACTGGAACGCGAGTATGGGTGTCCCAATCCACTGCTGAACTATTTATTTAAGTGCTAAGGGATGATAGTGAGGACGGACTTGCAGGTATTTCTGCTGGGATGATAGTGAGGACAGACTAGCAGGTATTTCTGCTGCTCGACTTGCGGAGTTTGGCGGCAATATAAACCGGGAATGGTGATATATCGGTACTAGCTGTCTCGTTTTATCGTGCCGCGCAGATGAGTGACACTCCATTGTTTCCCTGCCGCGGGGTGCTCTGATTGGATGCTCACTGTTACCCTCTGACCCGCAGGCGGGTGTCCCCATGTCACCCAACCGGCCTCTGACAGGTCATGTGACCCAGCTTGTGACAAGCTTCGGTCCATCTGCACTGAGGTAAATCCGCAGAGAATATGTCGATTTTGAGAGATTTGATTGGTAACTGGAAATATCACTTTGGCAAACTCTAACACTTTGTGTTTTTCTTTCCTGAACGATGGAACTGGTTTTTTAACATGAAAAAAAGTGTGAGGAAAAAAATCACCCATTTATATAACAGTTAAATATACAGATTAAAAACAGCATGCTTTGCAATTAAGTGTAATCATTGTGGGCATTAGGCTCTGTGAGTAAGGAGGCGTAGTGATTTGTCAGTGATTGAGTGATTGGACGTGACCACCCCCTACAGGCTGGAGTGTGTGGATGCGAGGAGGGTTACACAGAGGTGATGACATCGGACGGAGTACTTGACCAGTGCACGCTGATCCCGGTGCTGGAGATCCCCACGGTGGGCGACACCAAGGCCGACGTGAAGACCATCCGGGCCGTCAGTCCCACCCAGCCCTCCATCAGTCACCCTGGCCGATCCAGTCGCGCCTGGTTCCTGCAGCCCTTTGGAGCTGGTGAGCTGCCCACTTTTCATAAACTGAGTAAAAAAACACACAATTCCATCCCACCTTAAAACTGGTGTGATCTGAACAGGTCAAGACTCAGCTTTTGTTGATGAATCAGCTGGAAGTTCGAAGTAAACTCAGCAGCACTCTGATTAATTCTAGAGCTCCTGAAACTTGTGTTTTACTGCCCCCTGTTGGATAAAACACTGAGTGTCCAGACCATTGGTGAAACCCATTAAAACACTGGGGTCCCAAGTACATCTGTGCCATAGTGAATGTAATGTGGAATTTTTTTTGGTCATATTTACTGGCCTGTGGATTTGATTTATTTTTATTTATTGGCCCATATTTTAGTTTTTCACTCTATTTAAACTGTTTTGTAAATGCACATTGTGACAGTCTGTGGTGGGTTGGTGTCTCGTCCTCAGTTATTCCCCGCCTTGCACCCATAGCTTCCGGGATAGACTCTGAACCCCTGTGACCTGCATAGGACAAACGGGTATAGAAAATGCATGGATGGATGCATGGATGGATGCATGGATGGATGGATGGACAGTTTGACAGTTGACAAGTCTCAGTTGCCACAAATAACGTCAATCGGAATCACCTCCCACACCTGCCTTGATTAGCAGCAGTATGGATTGTGACCGACGCCTGCATCTTACTGGCTGACCAGCAGCCTGGGGGAGAAGCTTGGTGTAATAATGCACATCGGCAGTTGTGTTTTCGGGGGTGTCGCTGAGGCGTTTAACCTGTGGGCCGATTCGCCCGTCTCCTCCTCCTCCTCAGACGGCCGCCTGAAGACGTGGGTGTATGGCGTGGCAGCGGGGGTGCTGGTGCTACTCATCTTCATCATCTCCATGACCTACCTAGCTTGGTAAGTTCCCCCCAGTCACGCTCGTCACCGTCATTCAAGAAATGTTGTTTTCCACATTATTCTGTAAGAGAGTTTTTTGTTCTTTCTGTACACCCCCCCCCCCATGTTCACCCTCACTGCCTGTCTGCGACGTAATCTGTAAAGTGCTTTTTTACAATGCTCCTCATCAAAAGAGCCGCATAAATAAAATTGAAATGAACGGAACTGATCGATTGCTCCGCCTCCTGGATGCCCGGTGACCGGTCAGAGGTGAGTGAGGTCATAGCTCTTGGCCTCCTCAGTCATGTGACCTAATCAAGCGGCCTGCGGTGCACAGGCAGTAGACAGCACAGTGCAGTGAATTGACTGAACAGTGCAATCAATGCCGCTTTCACCACAATAGTGGGGGGGAGTGTCACTGCAAGTCAGCTGAATAGTATGACCCAATAAATCAGGAAAACAGAGTGTGCTGACTTATGATCTAGATATTTTGTTCCATGTAATTGTCTGCAGCTGAAGTATAAAATAATTTTGTTTTTACTCCATCTATAGTGCAACTGTCACTGCTCTTTTATGACATAGCTAAAGAAATGTATCCAGTTAATGTGTCCTATACTGATCTCCCCCTGGTGGTCTGGTGAGGCTATTGCACCTGTTACCTCATCCCGTTACATACAATAAAATTACATTACAGACATGAACCCCCCCCCCATCAGTAGGGTTTCCTCCTTATTTAAATTTTTTTTTCCATCTGTCCATTTTCTATATTATACCCAGTTCTGAAAATAAACGTGTTCCGTTGTCAGTGTCCCTGCTCCTTTGCTCACAGTCACATTGCTGATGTTCTTTTAGATTTATCATCCCCACTTTCAATAAATAACTGCCTTGTTTTTTGTATTTTTCCAGTCTTGCATGGCTATAATTATATTTAATAAGCTGTCTAAACTTAACCGGGGGCCGTGCCCCAGGTGTGGTCAGTGACCTAACTTGCTGTACTGTTTTATGCACTGTAGTCATCATTAAGGTGAGTGACGTCTGCATTTCTGTTGGCTACCCGCCTCTGTTCCCTGCTGTCTGACCTCATCAGCTTGCTGCAGTTACTGTCTCCATTCAAGCTGAAATGTGCTTTCTGTGTGTGTCAGTGTGTGAGAGTATCTGCGTGTCAGTGGGTTAGGTCTGTGTGTATGTGGATCTGCGTGTCAGTGGGTCAGGTCTGTGTGTATGTGGATCTGCGTGTCAGTGGGTCAGGTCTGTCTGTATGTGTCTCAGTGTGACTGTGTATGTTGTGCGT